CCATCTTGCCCCGCCCTCCCCATCTCTCCACTCTTATAGCCCTGTTTTCCTTCACTGACAACACAGTACTGTATGTGCAAAAGGGTTCATCTTTGTTTTCTGTACCTCCCATGTACCTATGTCTTCCTCTTCCTCAGTGCCACCATGTTGATCACTCACATTTGATACATTGCCCTTCTCAAATTTACAGAGCAAATTCACTTTCCATACAGCAGTTCACACATACGTTGTCTCATGACATTGACTACAATTTACCCCAATGCAACAGCTCCCAAATCAATACTTTTCTCTACCTATCCAACAGTGTTCCTTCCCCTCCCCTCCCACCATTGGTAACCAACAAAGAGAATTTCCTTCCATATATAAACTGTTCCTTGACTTTTACAATAATGGACTAAAACAGTATTTGGCCTTCTGTGATAGACTTATTTCATTCAGCATGTCCTCCAAGTTCATTCATGTTACGCAGTGTTTTGCAGATTCTACATTATTCTTTAGGGTTGCATAGTATTCCATTATGTGTATGTACCATAGTTTGGATATCTATTCCTCAATTGATGGACACCGAGGTTGTTTCCAACTTATTGCTGTTGTAAAGTACTGCGATGAATATGGGTGTGCATATGTCTGTTCTTATCATGGCTCTCACTTCTTTAGGATATATACCTAGTAATGGAATGGCTGGATTAAATGGTATTTCTATTTCCAACTTTTTAAGGAATCGCCATACTGCTTTCCACAGTAGTTGTACCATTTACAGTCCCACCAGCAGTGTAGGAAAGTCCCAATCTCTCCGAATCCTCGCCAGCATTTGTTATTTTCTGTCTTGTTGAACTTTGCTGCTAGTGCTGGGGCAAGATGGTGTTTCATTGTTGTTTTGATTTGCATCTTTCTAAGATGGGGCAATCTACTATAGTAGTGAATACTGCCTAGGAAACCCAAGGAGGGGTCTCTATGAGTCGGGTCTGACTCGATGGCACATAACAACAATGGCTAATGATCCATGAGCATTTCTTCATATGTTTGTTGGCCACCTGAATATTCTCCTTGGTGAAGTGTCTATTCATGTCTTCTGCCCATTTTTAATTGGATTACTTGTCTTGTAATGCCATTTTAAAGTGAAATATTTGCAAATAGCTTTAGTTTTTAAATTGTTCATTCCTTCTCTATTGAAAATCCGTGTAAATTGTGTTACTTGCCTCAGAAGAAATTTTAGATTACATCTGTTTCTGAATTATTGTAAGTTCAGATTATTTGCTGATCAGCAGTTAGTTTTCTAATTGCTGGGTAAAGAGCTATTCTGTCTTGTGTTATTGAGTCTCTGAGAGAGAATTCTATTTGTTTTTAATTGCTAGCAACCCATTGGCATTTGGAGCTCTGGTAGCATAGTGCTTAATGCACTTGAGTGCTAACCAGAAGGCTGGCGGTTCAAATCCACCAACCACTCCTTGGAAGGAAGGTTGGGCAATCCTACTTTCGTAGTGATACTGCCTCGGAAACCCAAGGAGGGGTCCCTATGAGTCGGGGCCGACTCAATGGCAAGTAACAACAACAACAACATTGGCATTTAGATGAATTCTTGACTTATTTGACTAGGAATTTTCACTAATAGGTTCTTGTAAGCAAACCAGGCTCACACTTTGGTTTCATAGATCCTGTCACAGAAAAATAATAACTCTGCATTTTGCTATGTAAATATAAAGGAAGAACTTCTCAGAATATTGAAGTATCTAGAGGCCATATTTTTCAAGTCTTCATGCACCAATATGAATTATTTTAACTGGTCTCAAAAGAAAAATGGTAGGCAGCCCATTAAATCAATGATATGGTGAATGGAATGCAATTGGGGATTAGGAAAACACAGGTTGTAGTTATTTTAGATGACTACTGTGCTTTCCAGTTTATTTTCACTCATTTAGTTGTTACCTCATGGTCCCATTCTCATGCCCTTTACATATAGTGCATAAATCTTTAAATCTGTCCAGTAGACCTCCTTGTAGGCAGAGGTGGTAATTAGTTACTGCTTGTCTTTGGCACCTTAGCTTTCTGTCCTAAATTTAAAATTTTAAAATTATCTTAAATTTATTATCATTTAATGTATTTTAGAGGCCATGTGGATAGCTGTTTGCTCCTAAGATTTTGATACCATTTTTCAACCAAATTTCTCTTTGGGAAAGAAAGAGAGGTGGCTTATTATTAAAGAAGCATATCTAAGATGAGGGCTTGGAAAGTTTGCCTTTGCATTTGTATTTACGCATGGATTGGCAGAATAATGCATAAATATCTGGGCATTATTTAATGATTCCTTTTTGAGCCAATCATTCGTGCTTCATTTCTACCTTCTGCAGAGATAGATAGAAAAGCACTGTGTAACCAAGAGTTTGAGCTTGTCAGTATATTGTAGTGTATCTTTTTAAACAATCCTTCAGCTCATGTACTTTTTTTGATGCTACCACTTTTTGTTTTTTTAAAAAAATGCTTGCATAAAATGCATATTTATTCAAATAGAGTTTTTTATGTAAAAGTTCACAGTGAAAAGTCTTATCTCTTGGCTTTCGGCATTCTGCTCATCAAAGGTAATAGCTGTTGTTAGTTTCTTATAGATTCTTCAAAGTTTCTGTATGTACATCCTAAGCAAATATATTCTTATTCTGAATGTTCATATTTCCCTCTACCTTGTTAGAAAAGATTGTATACCATGCTGCCTTCTGCCCTGTTCATTTTGTCATGTATTGTGTTGGATATAGGGCCTTTCTTTACTCTTTTCTTATAACTGCCTGGATTGATAAAGACATTGTGCATGTCTCTGAGTTTTATCATTACAGCAAAATCCCAGCTGTAGAATTACTGGGTCAGAGAGTACATGTGGTTATAATTTTTTGGTAAATATTGACAAATTGCTCATCACAAGTTGTGTGCTAATAATTTAAACATCTACCTGCAAAATATGAAAGTGCCCTTTATGCCCAGTTTTATCAAACTTCTTGATCTCTGCCAGTCTGGTAAAATGAAAAGTGGCATGTCAGTATAGTTGTGCACATTGAGATGTGTTTCTGATATTGAATATTGGTCACATGGGTTTGTGTTTACTGCCATTGCTAGTGTTCCTCAAAGTAGGCCTTTTCAGAGTTACTCCTATTTAGCTTTGGCTTTCAAGGTTTACATTTTATTTGAGAGGATTGAAAAAACAAGCCCACTGCCATCAAGTCCATTCTGACTCGTAGCAACCGTATAAGACAGAGTTGGACTGCCCTATAGGGTTTCCAAGGCTGTAAATCTTCATGGAATTAGACTGCCTCTTCTTTCTCCTGTGGAGCGGCTGGTGGGTTCAAACCACCAACCTTTTGGTCTAATCAAGTTAGCAGCCGAATGTTTGGCTATGGCACCAGAATTCCTATCTGAGAGGATGATGTTGTTGTTGTTACGTGCCGTCGAGTTGGCCCCGACTCATAGCGACCCCTCCTTGGGTTTCTGAGGCAGTATCACTACGGAAGTAGGATTGCCCAACCTTCCTTCCGAGGAGTGGCTGGTGGGTTTGAACCGCCAGCCTTCTGGTTAGCAGTCAAGTGCTTTAGCCACTGTGCTACCAGAGCTCCTATCTGAGAGGATAAGAACCTTAATTCACTATCTTACAGTGTCTTTTATATTTTTGAAGGCTTTGGCACGTCTTCTTCATCGTCAAACCCTGCGGCGTCATCCTTCAAATTTGGTATCTCATCATCCTCTTCTGGGCCTTCTCAGACTTTAACAAACACTGGAAATTTTAAATTTGGAGATCAAGGAGGCTTCAAAATAGGTGTGTCATCGGATTCAGAGTCTATAAATCCCATGAGTGGAGGCTTTAAATTTTCTAAACCAATAGGAGATTTAAAATTTGGGGTTTCATCTGATCCTAAACCAGAAGAAGATAAAAAAGACAGTAAGAATGATAATAATTTTCAGTTTGGACTTTCTTCTGGTTTAAGCAATCCAACTCCTTTAGCTCCATTTCAGTTTGGAGTGTCTAATCTTGTGCATCAAGAAAAGAAAGATGAACTCTCTAAATCTTCATCTACAGGCTTTAACTTTGGTACAGGTGTTATTAACCCTACCCCTACCCCTGCTGCTACTAATACCATAGTGACCTCTGAAAACAAAAGCGGCTTCAACTTTGGAACCATAGAAACCAAGAGTGTTTCAGTGGCTCCTTTCACATGTAAGACGCCCGAAACAAAAAAAGAAGAAACGCCTGCCACCAAAGGAGGGTTTATGTTTGGCAATATGGAACATGCCTCTCTGCCATCTGCCTCAGTGTTTGGTTTGGGAAGGACAGAGGAGAAACAGCAGGAGCCTGTCACTTCTACTTCTCTAGTGTTTGGGAAGAAAGCTGACAACGAAGAGCCAAAGTGTCAACAAGTGTTTTCCTTTGGGAATTCAGAGCAAACCAAAGATGAGAGTTCTTCAAAGTCAGGATTTGGTTTCGGAATGCCAAAACCATCTGAGAAGGAATCTGAACAGCCAGCAAAGTCCACTTTTGCTTTTGGAGCTCAAACTAGTACTACAGCTGGTAAGTATTATAGTTATTTTATAAGGCGTGATGTCGTGACAAATATTGCAAGTCAAGTAATGGTTTATACTGAACGTAGTTGAGAGAGTCCCCAAATAGCTATCTGGGAAGGAGCTAGGATTTTCATTTTCAATTGCTCCAACACCCCTACTTCCCATAATTCTGATGGCATTATCTATGGATACACTTTTGACAGACAAAACTCTAACAGAAAGCTTAAAATTTTGCACATTTGTCTATATTCATCCTTGTCTTTCAGGGCTTATAATCAGAATTGGCTTACAGTGTCCAGGAATATAGGTATTCTCAAGTTCATTAAATAATTTCTTAACTATTAAAATCTTTATGTAAAGCCTTTCATTTACAAGTATATACAGATAACTACAAGTATGTACAGATAACCAGTCATCATCAAACGTTTTAGGAACAGAGACAACAAGTATAATTAACCGCTGAGAAGACAGGTGACGACAAAAACTAAAATCCTGAAGGAAAAATGACTTAGAATTCTTAAAAACATCATTGATGAAATAAAAATCATTTTGTGAACTGATAGATAAGTGAACTGGAATTTCCCAGAACACAGTGCAGAAGTACAAAGAGATTGAGCCAAGCTGGAGGCACAAGTTCTGTTGGAGTAGGAGTACTTATAAGATGAGAGCAGTATGGAGGAAATACCACAGAAGAAGAAAATTTCTAGATATAAAGAAAGATACTGGTCTTAAAAATGGAAGTGACCTACGCCTTAAGAGAGACCTGTGACATTTTAGAACACCATGGCTGAAACCCTGAGTGCTTCCAGAGAGGGAGAAGCTGTATGCCACAAAGAGGTATCAAAATAGCAGCATACTTCCAATTTGAAACAAAATGCTAAGATCAGTAGGGTCATGCCCTCAAAGTATTAAATAAATGATCTTGAACCTAGAATTTTATAGCCAGCCAAATACATTCACACACAAGGACAAGATATAACTCTTTTCAGACATGCAAAGAATCAAAAGTTCAATACCCATGAACACTTTTGTGAATAAGTTGGAAGCACTCAAACAAAAAGGAAAGTTAAACAAGAAAAATAAAACTAGAATTTGACAAATAGGTGTGAACAGTTTCAGTCTATTAAATTTTGCTTGAAATGAAAAAAAAAATCCTTTAAAGAAAATAAAAACTAAAACTATGTAATGTTTAAAAAGGAACAAAAACTGAGAAAGGGTCTGATCAAGTTGAATCATGGAATCACTAGACTATTTGTATCAGTGTAGGCATTTTCTTAGCCAATCTCTGTTTAACTAACGAAAGCGAGTCAGCATGCTTCATTTTCCATACATTGTACTAATGCCCTTAGTACATTGACCAGCCCTGTCTAGTGAGCAATATTGGAACTCTGAGACATTAGTGTAGGAATAAAAAATCTTTAGTAGGTAGCTGGATTGTGTGGTAGGATCACCATATAAAACTCAATCGTTTTTCCCAAAATCAGCAATAAGCAGATGTACAGCCTATCTCATTTAACATTTTTAAGCAACAGAACCTATAACATACGAATAATTAAAAGAACATAAAGGGCCTACTTAAACTTGTTCCTGGGTGGGATTATTTCTCTACTCCCTTACTCTTTACTTCCTTTTTGGAGGAGCTTGACAAGTAAAAGCTGATTTCTAATATTCACACAGAAGGGAAAATGCACAATAAATTTAGGGAAGAAGGGCAGCTGCACAGGTAGACTTGCCTTACCAATAGAAAAAAAAAAAACACACTATAAAGCTACAATAATTGAAACAGCCTGGAGGCAAGGAACTCTGGTAGCGTAGTGCCTAAGGCACTTGACTGCTAACCAGAAGGCTGGTGATTCAGAACTACCAGCCACTCCTCAGAAGGAAGGTTGTGCAATCTACTTCCGTAGTGATACTGCCTCTGCTTCAGAAGCCCCAGGAGGGGTTGCTGTGAGTTAGGGCTGACTCAGCAGCACATAACAACAACAGGGACAATAGCAGCAGAGGAAACAAATGAACATACATGTGGAAATTTAGGATGTCATAGAGTTGGCCTTGCACATCACTGACCACAGGATTCACAGTCAGTAGATGTTACAGGAAGTAACTATCTATTTGGTTAAAGTTACAATCCTGCTTGCTACACATTGTAATGCAAATTGCAGATATAGTTATATAAAAATCATATTTATGAAAGTACATCTGTCTCCCAGTATCTGAACTTGGAGAGCATCCAGGTAGATTTGTCTTTAAGGTATATTTTTATATTTATTAATCTGAATGCTGAAGGCCTTCTTAAGAAAGACAGAAAATCTAGAGCTGTAAAAGAAAAGATGGATATACTGGTCAAAATTTAATAGAACAAGTGGCCATCTGATTTATGAATCTGTAAGAAATATTTAATATTCTGTTTTCTAAATTCCTTAATGATAGGGCAGGAAAAAATGCTTTCTGAGATGATTCTTAAGGATTTTTGTTTGTTTCTTAATTTGTCTTACAGATCAAGGAGCAGCAAAGCCAATTTTCAATTTCTTGAACAACAGTTCCTCTAATTCAAGTACACCAGCTACCTCAGCTGGTGGTGTTATATTTGGTAGTTCCACCTCTTCCTCCAATCCACCTGTGACTGCCTTTGTGTTTGGACAGGCCAGCAATCCTGTGAGCAGCTCTGCCTTTGGTAACTCTGCTGAATCAAGTACATCTCAGTCTTTGCTATTTTCTCAGGATAGCAAACCAGCAACTACATCTAGCACAGCTACTGCTGTCACCCCGTTTGTCTTTGGCCCAGGATCCAGCAGTAGTACTACAGCAACCGCTGGTTTCAACTTTGGAGTTACAACTACATCTAGCTCTTCAGGTATGTTTTTTTTTTAATGTTGTTTTTGGTTAGCTTTAATTACAAGCATGTCAATGGTTAGCCAGTGATAAAGCAAGTTTTATCATTGGGTGCCTTTTAGTCAACTATACTGGGCATGTTGTAATTATTCAGGATGTGGAATAATGTACATTTAATATTTTACTCTTGAAAGCTCTTTTTCTAATCTTGTTAAGAGTATAAAAATTTATTTTTCCAAGTCCCCCCTCCCCCCAATAGTAATCTGTAAATAACCACACTCTGGAAATTGTTTCATTAGACTTTGTTAACTGTAAAGATGGGAGATCATGTTAATTGAGGTTTCTGTTTATATGAATTCTACATGTTTAACTAAATAAATGAAGACGAAAAGAATCGTTTTCTTTTTATTCAAAATTTGTCTTTAATTTTGATTTAATTAATTTAGCAAGGTAAGGGTCGGGAAATGAGCTTAAAGTTTGCTTTTGAGTTTATAGAAATTTCTTGAGGATTATCTCACTGTATAAATCATAGTGATAAAAATATTTGTTTGGGCCTCCAGGATCCTCATATGTATTTGGCACTGGACCTTCTTCAACACCATCTGCCAGTCCAGCATTTGGTGCTAGCCAGACCCCAACATTTGGGCAAACTCAAGGTGCCAGCCAACCTAATCCCACAGGTTTTGGATCTATATCATCTTCAACAGCATTATTTTCATCTGGTTCTCAGACTGCACCACCTACTTTTGGGACAGTGTCAAGCAGTAGCCAAGCCCCTGTGTTTGGACAGCAGCCTAGTCAGTCTGCATTTGGCTCTGGAACAGCTCCTAATTCCAGTAAGTGTGTACAGTGTAGTTTATATCTGTACTTAGGTAATGTGTGTCATAAAAATAATTTCTTTCTTGAATTTTAAAATGTATCTATTTTTCTGTTGTCTCCTATACTTAGATTAGGGAGCTCTTGGTGGCCCAGGGGTTAAAGCATTCAGCTGCTAACCAAAAGGTTGGTAGTTCCGACCCATCAGCCTGCTTTCATAAAGATATATAACCTTGGAAACCCTATGGGGCAGTTGTGCTCTGTCCTATGGGGTCGCTATGACTCAGAGTTGACTTGATGGTAGAAGGTTTGCTTTTGGGTAGTTAGACTAGGAACATTTATGTTTACACTTACCTGTGAACAACATTTCCAGCTTTCATACACATTACTGCATTTTTAAGGTATTAAAATTTATGTTTAAAACAAAGTTTATGTTTAATTTTTTTTTTTTTTTTTTAATTTGGATACTTAGTGCCATTTCTCCCCAACTCAGTACTGTGGCTCTGTAGCCTAGATTTCCACCCTATTTTTTCCACCCTTTGCTTGCTTTATGATTGAATTCACTTCAGGAAGTTATACCCCAACTTGGACAAACCAGTCATCTCCTAACATTTGGATGTTCACACAAATACTTCTTGTTTAACTACTGCAGGGAAGCCCCTCATGTGATCACATTCCTCTTTCCTTTCCCTACTTTAACAGTGACAACTGTTCTTGGCTTTTGTGTTAATCATTTTACTTGGGTTTTAGTTAAAATGTAACTAATTGCATATGCATCTCTAAAAAATAGTTTAGCTGATTTTTAACTATACAAATGAAATCATTGCTTTGAGTATTGCTCCTTTCATTCTTTCTTTGCTTTGTAAGGTTCATCCATGTTATTACATCTGATTTCTTCATTTTCATTGTTGTAGAGTAAATCATTGTATGAATATACTACAATTTACCCATTTATTATATTGATAGATGTTTGAGTTGTTTGGGACTATTATAAAATGCTGCTCTGTTCATTCTTGTGTATGTATCTTTGTGCACATATGTATGCTTTTAGGCCATATACCCTGTAATGAGAGTACTAAAGTAAGAGGTGTGCATATCTTTATCTTTGGGAGTATGATGGATTATGCCAGTTTTTACATCCCACCACCGTTGTTATGAGCATTCTCATACATGAATTCTAGTTGGGGTTTGGGCTACTTTTCTGTTAGGTTGTTTGGCTTTTGCTGTTGATTTCTAGGAGTTCTTTATGTGTGTCACTCTCCACAGTCCTGCCAGTAATCCAGATTCCTGCATCTACAGGAAGCTTTGAGGAGCCTGAAGTGCAGGAGACTGTAGTTATCGGCAAGACTGTGGAGAGCACACAGATTCAAAGTGGCGCAGTCCACTTTAAGTACCACTGCCTTTAAGTACCACTGCCTTTAAGTACCACTGCCAGTTTCCTACTTGGGTCAGTGCTACACACTAGAGATTTGGTTACTGTGCAACATGTATGCTGCCCTTGTTCCATTGGCCATGACTGACTGAACCATTTCAAACTAGTTCAAAAAAGCCCTGTTTTATTCTGCCTCCACGTTTGAGTAAGACTTTTTGTGCCACATACATTTTTAAATTGGAAATAATTTTCATAACTTTTCATTGTGACTCTGGTTCTCAGAGTTGATCTTGAAGTCTCTTTCTTCATCTTTACTCTTTAGAATTTTGTTAGAATCTGTTCCTTTGTCTCCAGTGTCCTGAAATATCAGGACAATGTACTTTGGTGTGGACCCATTGAAGATTTTCTCGTTTTAAATTCCTTGTTTTCTAGCAAATCTATTTGGATATTGGATCTCCAGAATTTGTATTCTGACTTATCTTTTATTCACTCCTTTCTTCGCTTTTGTATTTTTCCTGTATTTCATGGGGATATTTTTAACATTCCCCTAGTTTATATCATGGGTGCAGTGTTCTCTGTTAATCTGGGGATGTTTATGATTTTTTTTTTTTTTAAATTAAAGAAAAGGTTTTACTTCCTTGCTTATATCTGTACTTAGGTAATGTGTGTCATAAAAATAATTTCTTTCTTGAATTTTAAAATGTATCTATTTTTCTGTTGTCTCCTATACTTAGATTAGGGAGCTCTTGGTGGCCCAGTTTTCTGCAAGTTTATTTTTTTTCTATTATTATTTTGACCTCAGTGTTTCTTATTTAGTACTTTACTCAAATGTCTGGTGATCATTAGCTCTCTGCTCATATTGTCATGAATAGGATACCTAGATACCTCTTGAGAATTCTTTGTGCATGGATTAGGCTTGTAAACCTTTAATGTCATTGTAGGGTTATCTGGCTGGATTGTTTCCTTGGGAAAACCTGGATGTGTTGGTATCTTTAAGTCTTTCTTTCCTCTTAGTCTCTCAGATTCTGCAGAGAAGATGCTTCTAGTCTCCTGCCTTTTTGCCTGTGTTCTCAGAGCTGAATTGTGGCGAAAGGCTGGAAGTATCAATATGTTTTAACTACTCTTAATCTGCCTATTTTTAGTAAGATATTCTTTGCCCTTATTTCTCTGTGGTCTCATCACCCAGTGCAGTTACCTCTCTAGAGACTAAACTTCTGGGTTGGAGGAGGAGCATTACCACCTTGTTTTAGTTTTAGGGAGGGATTGGTATCTGTTTCTTAAGCAGATATTCTACCTACGTTTCCTTCTTTTAGTCCCATTTTCATGCCCACTTTCAGAGGTACTTGGGTATAGTGTAAATGGAGTTAATTGACTTATGTACTTTTCCCTACTGCTAGTTTAGTATTCAGCTCCAGTCATCCTTCTAACTTCTGAACTTTTGTTGCCATTGTCCCTTCTCCCCCATCTTTGTAAAAATCCCTTTATGCTTATTTTAATGAGATTTCTGAAGAAGATGGAGCTACAGGTGTTTATTCTGCTATCTTTACCCAGAAGATCACTTTGCCCTCTTCTTTGGTCACGGTAAGTGGTGTCACTTGTGAAAAGTATCAAGTACATACTCTGTACCAATGGAGATAATTGATTATAGTTTTGTTTTAGCAACCATAGAAGAACAGTGTTTTTGTACATAATGGTCAGAGTCATTAATAGAGTTATTAATAGAGTCATTGTTGCCTTAATGAAAGACCACTTTTGAAGTACTTCTGCTTGGATCCTGTAGGTTCGGTTTTTCAGTTTGGCAGCAGCACTACAAATTTCAACTTCACAAACAACAACCCATCAGGAGTGTTCACATTTGGTGCAAATCCCAGCACACCTGCAGCCTCAGCCCAGCCTTCAGGTTCAGGGGGATTTCCATTTAGCCAGCCTTCAGCATCATTTACAGTGGGGTAAGAGAACATTTTGTTGAAATGGAGAATTTAACATAAGGATGTGTGTATGCATGCATGCATGTGTGTTTTAGTTTAACTATCACTGAAGTGTGCACTTTGGTGTGGGTAAAATTAAATATATTCTCCTACATCAGTCTGCCATTCTGCAGTTTTGGAAGATGATATAGCCTGGAGAAAAATGGCAGTAATTTGTGTGTGCTAGGTGTAGTAGGGGAGCTCTGGTAGCATAGTGGCTAAGACACTTGCCTGCTAACCAGACGGCTCGCGGTTCAAACCCACCAGCCACTCCTCGGAAGGAAGGTTGGGCAATCCTACTTCCGTAGTGATACTGCCTCGGAAACCCAAGGAGGGGTCGCTATGAGTCGGGGCCGACTTGACGGCACATAACAACAACAACAACAACGGTGTAGTAGGAAATGTTTTCACATTGAGTGTTTTACAATAACTTTGAAATGTTTTTCTGGGCATATGTCACATTAAGTTTTTCTTTTTCACAGGTCAAATGGGAAAAATCTGTTCTCTTCTTCTGGGACTTCAGTTACTGGTCGCAAGATAAAGACTGCTGTTAGACGTAGGAAATAAAGGTCACTAAGGTGTTATACACAACAGTTTTAAAACAGCTGGTGCCCGGCTTTCAGATACAGGATTGTACTACATGCTGGGGTTATCTGAAGTCAGATCTGCCTATGGACATCTTTCATTTTGGAACTTCCCTCATTTCTTTCTTTATAGAAGCCCTACCCTCCCCCTCCCCCCACTCCTTTTTTTAAAATAATAGCTAGCCTGGTGACTGATTCTTCAGCAAAAATATTTTATGATCCAGCAAATATTCACTGATTTGGCATGGTCTGGCTGTATCCAGGAATAGAGCTCTTCACGGCAAATGGCTTTGTATAGAACCTCGTCGTCTGCACCACTATGTGCGTTGATAAGCGTTTATGGAACGCGTTGAAATTGTAATTATATCTGAGGAATTCTGTATAGATTAGAGGATGTTGAAATGAATGATTTCTATGCTGAGTTTGTGCTGGTGTATGTGTGAAGTGAGTGAGTTGGGTGTATTGTGCACTAAAATTTTCTGATAGAGGAAGCCTGATTAAAGATGGTCCATGCTAAGGACTTGTTAGATCTAGTTCTCCATTTAATAATTATATGCTATTTCTATATTTTCATTCTTACGACTATCACCTGTCTTGCCTTTTTCATTATTTTATTATGAAACTTGTGTAAATATAATTTTGTTTCTGTACTTTTTTGGTATAACATAAATCTGTGAACTTGAAATTTTAATTTTGTGTTAGAAATTTTTTTTGTTTGTTTAGTCTTGTCTCAGATTTTATTATGTATATCCCATTATTCAAAGTTGCCTAAATCCATTTGGAAATCTTTAAAAAAAAAATAAAAAATAAAAAAAAATTGGGGATTCTTAAAGTGAATTTATTGGCTTTTCTGATCCAGTTTTGTTTGGACCAAAAACCAGTATTGTACAAAGTATTAAGCATATATTTTTATATTTACTGAAATGGACTGTGGTGACTTTGGATAATAAGGAAAAGTTTAATATTAAAGCCATGTTTATTACAGTATAATTAACATGTTAAACCATGGGATAAATGCCATCAATAAAAAATTATGAAATACTTTTTGTTGTAATTTTAACTCATAATGAAGGTACACAGTATTGATGGGCAGAAACTTTTTAATAAAGGTTAGTAATTGTCAGAAGGTAAATTCTAATAGGATACATGTGATTTAGATAATTCCTAAATGAAGAGCAGAGTGTCTGAATGCAGGACATACAGACAGTATACCCTGCTTCTTGCCTGGAGCTGGAATTCATGCCCAATTTGCATAGAAATTTACATGACTTTTTAAAAAGTAGAAAATAAACACATGGAACCATTTCTGCTTGTACCTTGCTTGATAAGTTTTACTAGACAGTGTTCTTTTGGATTATTGTCCTGTATTGTTTTCACTGGATCTTTTTAAAATGTAGTCCATAGGAACAACGTTTGATAATTTTATTCTTTAATTTGCAATTACTTTATGCTCATTTTAATTTGTTGAACTTCTTGTTGGTTCGAATTTAAATCCAGAACTTTAAAATGTTAAGCAGCTGCTTTTTTGTTTCCAACAAAGATATTTTTCCTAATCAAATGCTGGTTTGGGGGTTTATAATATGCACTTTATTAATAATATATATTGGGTACCAGCTTGGAGCACCAACAATGATGTTGAATTCTAGAAAAAAAGAAGCAAGCTGGAAATCTGGTCTTAATGTTGAGAATGTAACAATGCCTAATTAAATCCCAGGTTAGTTCTTAGTTCTGTAGACTGTATGGATGAGGATATTAAGCATTCTACTCTGGAGAGATTTTCATTAAAAATGCTCTAGAAACAATAAAGTTCCAGTCATTTAGTATTTTTTTAAGCAGGTAGGTGAAAATCATTCTTTAGGTGGCTCATGTTAAAAATGGAATCTTTTGGCACCCCAAACTGAAGTCTTTAGGGCTGTATTCAGGACTTGTTTTTTCTCCATCTAAACTGCTTTCCATTGTTTTAGCATCTTTCTCACTGCAGGTAGCAGCTCTAGACTGCATTTATGGCGCAAGTCCAATAGAACTGTCACCTTATTTGACTGGTTCAGGCTATAGACCTCTCTCTGATCCCCACTCCCTGTAGCTACTTGCTGTTTCAAATTCTCTCCTAAAATTGCTTATGAGAATTTCATTATTTTCAAATAATGAAAAGTGTTTGATATTGTTTGTAACTAAATGAACTTCCTGGTTTAGCCTGGGAAGAAGGAATGTTTGCTTTAATTTTATTAGTCTGTAAAATATTAAGTAATATTTTACAGACTAATAAAAATTGAAAATTTTACAAAGCTTGTTGTTATGTGCCATCAAGTTGGACCTGACTCGTAGCGACCCCCTTGCATTTCTGAGGCGGTATCAACTATGGAAGTAGATTGCCCAAAACTTAGCCATGTGTTTAATGTAAACTAACAAATCTGGTATAAAATTGAGAAAATGGGGTGTTGGGCTTAGCCACATGCACCATAGTATGTATGTTCATGCCAGTCAGAGCCTTCAGTTACATGTAATGTAGAAGTTATTAATTCAGGTCAACAGCCTATTTGTACTACAATGTAGTTTGTGGCTGGGATCATGGATGACTCAGACCAGGCCATATTTTAGCTTAAGTTTATCCTTTATTATGTTTGCCCTTTTTGAGGAACCTGTTAACTTGTATCTTGCCTTTCTTCCCTTTCTAGAGCTGTTCTTAAAGGTTAATTAAGAAAAGCTTTTAAGGTCAGAACTAAGTTCAGCTCAGTCATTTACTAGCTATGAGACTGCACTGTTTCCTTGTGAGAAACACATGAAATACTTAATATTTTGTATGGGGGCTGTCATGGTGAACAACTCTTAAGAATAGAATTATTAGTTTAATATTAAATTACCTACCAGTACCTTTGCCAATTTCTTTAATGCAGCTTAAGCTTCTTCCTTCACTATCAGTGGTTCTTGATCATATGCCACCTCCTGAAATGGATGAACATCTACCAATTCTTTTCGGTATAGTGACTCCGTGTATTTTTTCCATCTTCTTTTGATATTTCTTGCATTATTCAATATTTTGCCCACGGCATCTTTTAATATCGCAACTCGAGGCTTGAATTTTTTCTTCAGTTCTTTCAGCTTAAGAAATGCTGAGCACATTCTTCCCTTTTGGTTTTCCAACTACAGGTATTAATGGAATACTCATTGAGATGTTTCAACAGATGCTGCACTGGAGGCACTCTTTTTTCTTTGCCAAGAAATTTGGAAGACAGCTGTCTGGCCAGCTGACTCGCCATATTTGTACCCATTCCAAAGGTGATCCAACATAATGTGGAAATTATTGAACAGTATTCTTACTATCACACGTAAGTAAAATCTTCCTGAAGATAATTTAAAAACGGTTGCAGCAGTATATTAACAGAGAACTTCCAGAAATACAAGCTGGGTTCAGAAGAGGACATGCAACGAGGGATACATCCAGTTATGTGGATCATACAAATTATGCATAACATTGAGAACGGGAATTCCAGAACACTTGATTGTGCTCATGAAGAACCTGTACATAGACCAGGAGGCTATCATTCGAACACAACAAGGGGCTACCAGATGCTGCATGGTTTAAAATCATAAAGGGAGTGTGTCAGGGTTGAATCCTTTCACCATACTGACTCAGTTTGTATGCAGAACAAATCATCTGGATTATACAAAGAATGTGCCATCAGGATTGGAGGAAGACTCGTTAACCTGCGATAAACAGACCACACAATCTTGCTGAAAGTGAGGATGACTTCAAACACTGATGAAGAGTAAAGACTTCATCTGCAGTATGGATTATATCTCAACATAAAACAAAAATCCTCACAACTGGGCCAGTAAGCAACATCACAGTAAATGGAGAAAAGATTGAAGCTGTCAAAGATTTCATATTACTTGGTTCAACAGACACCACCAATGGAAGCAGCAGTCAAGACATCAGATGACATATTGCACTGGGCCAGTCTGCTGCAAAAGACCTCTTTAAAATGCTAAAGGGCAAAGAAGTCTCATTGAAAACTAAAGTGTGCCTAACCCAAGCCATGGTATTTTCAATCACCTCATAATCATGTGAGAGCTGGACAGTGAACAAGGAAGACCAAAGAAGAGTTGATGCTTTTGAGTTGTGGTGTTGATGAATAATACTGAACGTACCACGGACTGCCAAAAGAACAAAATTTGTCCTGGAAGAAGTGCAGCCAGAACACTCCTTGGAAGCAAGAACAGCCAGGCTTCATCTCATTTAGTTGGTCATGTTGTCAGAAGGGACCATTCTCTTGCTTGGTGAAGTGGAGGGCCATCACAAAAAGGGGAAGGCCTCAACAAGATGGATTGACACAGTAGCTGCAACGATGGGCTCAGGTATAGCAAGGACTGTGAGGCTTGCGCAGGAGGGCAGTGTTTTGTTCTGTTGTACATAATCTCTATGGATTGGAGCTGACTCAACAGCACCTAACCACCACCACCTGTAACTTCTGAGTGTACTTGTTAAAAGGGGATGGATTTTTTGATAGGTCTGATTCCAAAAGTACTCTAATTACTGTTGCAGCCATAGTGCCCATCATATGCATACCTGAAGGCAGAGAATGCTAGAAAAACTGCATTTGGATGCATGGTGTCCCTGAGGGGATTCAAAGTCAAAGATAAACATTTAAAACAGGAGCAAGTATTCTCAAGCAAAACACAAATGCATCAGGTCCAAGTATTTATTGAGACATAATACAAATTGGTGGTGTACAAATTATTAAAAATAGAACGCTGAATTTTATTTACATGCTGGCCATCAGATACTATTTGTAGATCAAGCCATGTGATAATGAACTGCAAGGAAATATACATACACTGTTTGAAATGAGGAACTTGACTCAAATACATGTAGATTTTAGCCTTTGGTTTGGTGGGCAGGGGATGATGTGTGAAATGACACTTTACAAACTAGAGGATTTTAGGAACACTGTTACTTAGGCATATTCAGCAAAAGAAACAACAGCCTGATTTAATAGGAACAAGAGTAGAGTGAAAAATGTTAATGCTTCTGCCCCCTTCAAAAAGTTCTTTATCTTCAAATAGTAGTCTAATTTACAACAACTTAACTTTTTTTCCCTTTGCTAGAAAATGTTTGTACATTAAGTGAAAGACCCCAACAAGTTATTGAAGGGAACAAATCCTTTTTTCTTTTTTGCCAGTAAAACATGTCTACTGTCATTTGAAGTGCTTCACAAATAATTTTTTTCCCCTCCCCAATTCTAAGTATTTGGGTGAATTTGGAAAGTAAATGTTTAGGTAGAAAGAGGATCCAATGCTAGAAAAGTATCAGTTGGGCAATACTTTTTTATTTAAATAAGTAAGTATTGGCAAGTGAAGGCTTACTATCCAAAAGTGTTGAGTTGACTTCTGTAGTCACAGAATAGGCTAAAAAGCAAGGCTTGCAATCATTCATACTACATTCAGACCTAGCTATGGGTCCAATATGAACAACACTTAGCTTTGTATCCAGACTTTCTCAAGGATACTTTTAGTGATGGGTATGTGAGATTTTTAGGTGCCTAACTGCCAATTCTGTGATCTTCTATTTGGAGGTTTTTTAACCTAGGGCATGCTACTGAAATAGTATTCTTACTCAGCTTCTTAATTTTTGTTCCCTTTTCTTATAAAGTGATGAGTAACATATTTACTATGAAAACAACTTCTTTTGCCTATTTAGGCTAGAGCTTCAGTATGAGATTTATACAGATCAGTATTTCTGTTAACGAAAAACAAGTGTTTTGAAAAGAAAAGATTCCCTTCCCCACAACTCCAAGAGAAAAATGTGGCACCAGACCCTGATCCTCTTAAACTGCCATTGTTTTGGCACTTTTTGGAACATTTGGGAATCAAAATCTCTTTCCCTAAGTGCTACATTCACGAATTTTGTTGTAGAGGTGAAAATACTTCTGATATTTTTCATAGGCCTTTATAGTATAACTTGAATCCATACTTGGATATGAATGAACCTACACAGATAATTCATCTGAATGACTCAAGTACAGGTAGTCCCTTATGAACTTATGACCGATTTCATTGCTATGTCTGACTTAAATGTATAAGTTGGAAGAGTTGGATGTGGTTCATATCTAACAGCAGTTAGTCAGAAGTCTTAGTATATATAGTTGTACCTTTCTATGCATGAAAAACATTACACACTTCCAGATAAACTATCTTTATACTATAATACAATAATTTATTACCATAATAATAAAAATGTTTTGACACACTTCACAAAGTAGTGCCTGTTACTACGAACCATTGTATATACCTCAAATTTTTAATATACACTTAACAGGGATTGGTTCGTTGTACGTAAATGGGATACTCATAACCCAGGGACTGCCTGTATAAGCAAATGGTGTAATGTTGTATGTAAATTAAGTTAGACTCTCATTTGCTTTTACTTTACTGCATAAATAAAAATGGATAAATGATGAACCATTCAATTATCTGACCAGGAATTATAAACAAAGATGGTCTTCAGTCATGCACTCTGGAATACATTCCAACTTTCCCTAGTCAGTGTAAAAGTAGCATATACACCATTGTTAATGTTTGCGTTATTTAATGTGCTAAGTTTATGAGTAACATTTCCTAATGTCTAGTCACCAAGTTAGATTTTGTTTTTCTTTTCATTACAGTGAAGGGCCATAATAATATCTTCCCAAAGGTTACAAGTGACTTACCTGTTTAGTGCTATGACATACTAAATTAATTGGCTTTCTGTGAAGCTAGTTTTAATATAAAATTATTTTTAAAAACATGGTTTATGAAATTTTAAAATAAAAATAAATAAAAATATGGCTAAAGTTTCTATAAATATCAGACGTGAATGTTCACATTTTTTAATGTCAGGAAAACAACTGATAGAGTAATAATAAAGACATATATTGCATTTGTTATTAGATTTAAGACCAAGGCCTAGATTGAGCCCTGAAACAATTTAATAATGAAATGAACTATCCAATAGTTGGTGTTTTCTGGGAAAATAGTATTGAAGATGAAAAAATTGCCTAAGAACCAAATAAGCTATAAATAGTATGGGTATACCTCAACATAGGTTAATGGGGGGCAGCTAACAAAAGTACACACACACATAAACTCACAACTTTGTTTCAATAGGATAAATTTTTTAAATGGCAATATAAAAATTACTTCACTTAATATTACCACCAAAACTTCATCCCTCACAGACCCAAAATGAGCTTATGGCCCACAGAATCAAATGAACATAGTATGATATCTGGAGGTAATAAATACTCTCCCTTGTTTTAAAGGAAACGGTCCATGATGGGGAAATTGCAAATGTTTTACAGGCTACTAGTATTCTGATATACACTGTTTGATGTTTCAACAGTCACAGAACTATATAAAAGGAAACTTGAATATCCTGTGAAGAAAGAAACTACACATATTTTAGAACACTTAATAGCACTAATACTTTCTTCATGCTGCACACATACTAAGAATATTGTTTTACAGTAAATATGCCAGTTTGATGGAAGTAATCCCTCCCCATATTTATAGTTTGATTTAGGGCACTGAAAACACCTGCATATGAATTTTAAGTTATGTCTACAGTGAAAATTTACCCCCCCACAATTAAAAGCAATCACTAACTTACCTTTTCTTTAAAAAAATCAGTAATACAGTGATATAATACTTTTTCATCATCATGCAGAACTTGTCTCAAAATACATATTTAAGCATTAAGAAGATAAGTAAAGTTACATCATCATTCCCAAAGTCAACCACAGTCTGGATTTAAAAACTCCAGGTAAGGGAACTGCTAGGCCTTCCTCACTTGCCCCTTTCTCTTGCAGCTCAACTCACCACCTCTGTGGATGGGAGATAAGTAGATAATCAAATAACATTCTCTTCCTCTTTCCTGTCCTCCAAACACAATTTCCTGAAGAGATGTTAACTAATAGATGGATTAGGTAGGTGTTCACAAAACACAACTGGGCATTTTCCATAATCTTGGGATAAACCAAAATAAATTGTAGGAATTTCATTTGGAGATTTCTGAAGCCTTAGATCTTGTTCATTGTTGATCATGAAACCACACTTGCTTTCTTTTGATCTAAAAACTTTTAACACTTAAATTTAACAGGTACTGTTTTTCTTCTGGAAAAGTTCTTTGGCATTCATGTAAAACCAATACTTTCAGAATAGTCACCTGTATCACAATAGAGTGACTGACTGCTTTAATTTCTAAATCAATTAATGTAACCCAGGCATACTGATGGCCTCAATACATAACTTAGTTTGTCAACATTCCAGAGAACATGGAATTCAGGGCTGTTTTTGGCATCATCTGACCCCATTTCTTTTTACCACAATAGTTCCTGCTACAATGTCATAGGCTGTTCGATTATGCTGAAAAAACAGCAGTGTGATGAAAGCAGGGAAGAAAGAAGCAATAGAAAAATTCTTGATCAAAGCTCGTATGGTGGACCTAAAAATAAAAGCAAAAAATATCAGGTATGTTGTACATCAACCACATGTAGATAAACAGTATTCTGTTAAGTTCAAAACAGATATTTACAACACATTCAAAATACAGTTGACCAGTTTTTTATTTTTGATATGTTATTTTCAAATAGCATATTATGATCAAACCGACTGGACGTCATCAACATAAAAGACTTTAGAACTTTCAGATGAAAAACAGCAATAAACATGCCTATTCATGTGAACTAAGGTGTTCTGGTTACCTAGTGCCACTCTGACAAGAATATACCACAGATGAGATGGCTTGAACAAACGGGAGTTTATTCTCTTACAGTTCGCAAGGCTGGAAGTGCAAGTTCGAAGTGCCAGGCTCTAGAGGCTGTGTGAAAGCCCCTTGACCTTGGGCTTCAGCTCTGCCTCTTGCTCGAAGCCCACTTAAGCTAGAGGCGTCTCTTCACTCAGGCAGCTACTGGATGCTTAAGTTAACAAGCCCAAGGTCAACAGTTAAATGGCACAGTCCCATTGTTATACCAAACCACATGACAGGCCATTAATTCAAGTCCATTGAATGTTCCAAGGTTGGCAGAGCATGGCAGGCTGCTGAATAACCACACAGCTACATGCAGGGTTCAAGTGTGGCATAAGCTAGAGACCATTCCCTAAGCCTTCTCCTTATATACAGGAAGCAGACCATATCCCTAAGGCTGCCTCCCAGTAGATTCCACCATGGAGCTGATTACCAGTCTCATCATGGGGAATACTACATCCAGCTGCCCAGCCACTCAACCAGGGCCAGCCAAGTTAACACACAAACTTAACTACCATGTAAGGGTTTATTGTATTTTGCCAGTGAACTGTACCCCTGAAAACGGCTGTTGTAAATTCTTCCCCCATACCTGTGGTTATAATGCCATTTGAGAATGGGTTTTCTTTGCTGTGTTAATACCATACCACACCACTACAAGGTGTGTTTTAAGCCAATCACCTTTGAGACCTGAAAAGAGCACATTAGGCATAGAGAAGCAGCAGAGATGCAGGACACATGCCATACCAATTGAAGATCACCAGGGAACCAAGGAACGAGGACCTCCCCCCAGAGCCAACAGAGACAAAAAGCCTTCCACTAGAGCTGATGCCCTGAATTTGGACTTCCAGCCTCCTAAACTGTGAGAAAATAAGTTTCTCTTTGTTAAAGCCACCTACTAGTGGTTTTTTCTGTTACAGCAGCACTAGGTAAGTAAGACAGCTACTTACTAGTTATGTTCCATAGCTGTAAAAAGGTGTAAAAGTACCTATCTAACATTGTTAAGATTAAATCGGTTTATGCATATTCACTGCTTACCAGTTCCTGGTATATAAAAAGAGCTCAATGAACAACAGCTGTTGCTGACTCATTTGATTTTAAAATTAAAAGCAGTAACCAGGAAATACTAAATAACAAAATTTTAAGGAAATGTTGAAGATGTCACCAAAATCAAGGCTGCTTCACTTAGTGTTACTCATCTATTTAATAATAACAATCCAACCATCCAACCCTGAATTCCAGCAGCAATTTCAGCTGATACCTTGTTTTGGCCAACTGATTACCACCCATTCAACCCCACAACTTCCATTATCATTAACTTTACCTTCCCCCAGGGTGAGATGCCACTAGCTATGAGTACTGCAAGTATTACAAGTTCTCTCATTTAAGAGCAAAAGCAGGATGCATGCATGCATAGCTGTTGAAACTCTTTTCCTGCTTCTTCAAGCTGGAGAGTGACAGTCCACTAACTGACCTAATGTCCACAGATCTAGAAAATATAAAGCTGGGTATGAACACTGACACAGCATCAACTCAAATCATCCTCTCATTATTGTGCCTTATAGTTAATAAAATGATCATCTTGAAAAAGTATACTGAAAGGGGTCTACAATCGTAACAATAGAAATAAATACTCAAATTTGGTTTTAAAACTTAGTAACTGTAATCATATTGCATTGTATGCCATCTGGGAAGGATGAAGAAAAAAATACCAATATTTTAAAAATACTTTATCAAATGCTGTAACTTTTGAACTATACAGACTACTAAAAATTTACTATTTTCATAAGTACACAGTACATTAAGCTAAGAGAAGGACTTACGTTGTAATGCTAACATTCGAGGAAGGAATCACTAAAACCCGACTTGGTGCAATAAGCACTGATGTGTCACATGTCACAACCCGAAGCCCTAGCAGGAACTTCCCTGGGGTAGCTCCACCTGCTCCCCAAATGCAAATTATCTGAAGAAAAAAGGATAATCGTAAAATACTTCTCTGGCTGAACTATACCAATTTTAAATACAAGCTTTCCTGACATACTCTTTCATGTTTTAAAATTTTCAAGTTGAAAGATAATAAACATTTCATAGAATACCATGATCCAGCCACTCAAAGTTAACCTTTTACTGTATTTCTGCAGGTCTCAATGTTTTCAATACCACGAGACATGTATTGTAATATTTCTTGATGACCCATTTTATTTTTTAGCAAGTTGTTTCTATAGTAAAATACATTTCAAGTTCCACAACTACAGTCTGTTTATGAATTAGAAACCACCCATACAAAAAATTTTAATGTCTAAGGCTAAAATAAGGAGCTCTGGTAGCATAGTGGCTAAGACACTTGCCTGCTAACCAGAAGGCTGGCGGTTCAAACCCACCAGCCACTCCTCGGAAGGAAG